GTACGGTACGCGACCGCATTCTATAAGGCCTCGGGTTCGATTTCTAGATGCTTACCCGGAAAAAACAGACAGACAGACGGACAAATATTTAAACTGGCTATTTGCACCATAGTGCAAATAACCGTGTAAGCATGAAAAAAACCATTTATTTTGACATTACAAACAGACCCTTCAATTTTGTTTATTTGTAGTAGTAGTAATGAATAATAAATAGTGAGTCCTCGCTCCTCGCATTAAGTTTAAGGTTTACACCAAGCATCTCAAAAAAAGGTCAAAGAAAGACCTCGTTCCAGCGTCTATACTTAGACCACAACATATATGTACACGGAAGGAAAGCTATGAAATCATCTTAAATAAATGCACAGGGGGAAATGAACTTTATTATAACTTGAGATAAGTGAAAGTTAGATGATTTCTAATATTTGACGACATATAAGTGCACCAATGCCTTTCATAAAAAAGTATTGGATAGAACGGTATAGTTTTTTTTTTAATATATTGATGTCTTCATATAACAGCAATAATACAGGCTGCATAGTATGATAATGTAGACATGACTGTGTGAGTTGTTAATGTTACTACCGTGCACTTAATTCGAGTGCAGAGCCATGCTTTATAGTTTGTTCGATTCAAACATGTTTTTGTCCCTAGTGCGGATCTGGTATTACCAGAAAGTATCAGTACTTGTGCTCAAACAATACACAATTTGCGTTTCGTATGAAGATAACTTACAGTATCGTGTCTTTGTTTTATAAATACAAAGATTTATTAGTTGTGCATTAAATTACTTTAAACAAAGTATCACCGAATTCAATTTTATTTCAGAAATTCTTCATTCCTTAATTTTTACACTCAACGGGTGGATTTTTTTGTTTTAAATGGAACCAAACCGGTAGTGGGAATTGTCTCAATCGGTTCATGAAATATGACAGAGTTCTGAGGTGAGAAACATACCTATTACGGTCTAATTGAGATCCTCTTTTTTTGCAGTCGATTAAAAAGAAAGGACTGTTTTGTTTTAATTATTATTAGATGATTACTTACATTATTATTATTCTATAGTTGGTATCGAAATGATGTCAAGCAAATGTTAGTTAGAAACTTAGTAGGTGAATCGTGAACGCAAGGTCATAAAAATCAACGATTATATTAATAATCGTAGTTGAAATGATAATAACTATTGAACCGCTATTGGTATTCAATAGAATGTTACGATTATGCAACCGATACTTACCAAGAAATATAAAATAAATTAATTTAAAATCATCAATTGCTTAGTAGTTTAAGATTGATGTTTCGTTTACAAAAACTTCACAGAACAATACAGATTATTGTGTTTATAGAACTTTATTAACTTTAAATGGCAAGTTCTTATGCAGTAAAGACGAAATTGGTGTGTATGATTGTGGGCGGTATTCCCTCATACAAAGTGCGTTATTTGTTCTATACACTCAAAACATAGAATGGCGTATGGTTACATAAATCACTCTCAAAAGTGGTTTGGCCTAAATATTAGCAGTAGGTAGTAGAGATAATGGTACCGTTCTACTAAGTAACGGTAGTTGCAGATGTTTGATCAATAAATGACGTCATCCGTTCCAATAGGGGAAGTTTTCCCCTCGACATTTTGCTAAAAGGTGAAACTTATTATACCACCCACGAAAACATTGAGTCGTCTTCTTCTAACTAAGAAGCCGTGACCAATATTTGTTAGTCTGACAGTAATTGAAGCTCGTTTAAAGAACTTAAAACTCCATAGAATTGGTACACAGTAGGTACTTTCAGTTTTTTGCTAATACATTCTAATCTAGAAATTTTATATGCATCGACATGACAAAAACAACATATTAATTTTTTTATCTATTAAATCTTATTTTGTGTTTACAAAACGTGTGATACATTTACTTAGAAGTATCGATAACTATAATCTACAAAAATTAAAATTCTGAAAATTATAAATATACAACAAAAGATATCGTCGAATCATAGAAAAGTACTTTTAAATAAATTTTATATTACTTCTGAATTGCATAAAATGATATAAAAATAATGTACATAGCTGAGAGTAGATAATATTAGTAATAAAGTCGAATAGTGGTATACACTGCACTTTAAGAGGATCGTACCGCATTATTGAACAATGTACTTCAGCAGCGGAGTATTTGAGAAAAAAGTATTTGTGAGTGGCAGTTTTATTTGTTTACTAGGAACGTACAGGACTGACCGACACATACACACACGAAAACCTGTGAGTCTGATGTCAGTGATAATGTTGACCTTCTTAACGTATTTGTCGATAGCGACCCTGCGAACCATTCTCTTCTCAAATTCATAAACCGAATACGCAAGTGAACAAGAGCCATATATTGCAATATAGGCAACGATGGCTATTAGGTAGTTCCCTCTTTCTAGTCGAGCTCTGTGGTTTGCTGGGGATTTTTTTTATCTCCCGCCTGTTCTACGACCAAAACCATGCCCGCTTCACGATAGCCAATCACAGCTTAGCTACACAGAGACAGAGGGGACTATCGGGCATCCATCTCTCTCGTTACCTGTATTGGTTCCACTTACAGGCAGCTCTACTCCGTGTTCTTTCTATGCTTATATGTCTATGGGACAACGTATGCCTCTAGAAGGTACCTAAGGTTTGTACCCTCAGTCGTATCCTGTTGTTTCTACACGGAAAAAAAAACATGCAAAATTAATATTGACTAACACAAAGTAGGACAAATAAATAGCGTTAAATTAACTTACACAATCTTCATTATTACAAAGACAAACGCTATGAATCAAAAGATATTTACTCGTATATACACAATGTTAGAAAATAATACTTTTTGCAATAGTCGTAATTGGTTACATAAGGGTATGCGTTTAGTTTGAACTATCTAACAATTACTTCATAAGAATTGGTAACTCGCGTTTATTTATTATAATATGACTTATTCAATATAAGCCTTGACTAAATCCATCTCAATTTTTTTACATTTTTGTCCTAACTAGTGCGACGTTGACAGATTTTTAACTTCATTAACAAACTTTGAGGCAACAATAAAAGCGTCATAATAATAGTGTCCAACGGTTGGCCACTTTATCGCTGTCGGTGTGTGTGTGTGTCAGCTGTGTTTTCGAGCCAAAAACACTCGATTTGCAGCACGCCGGCATGATAAGGTTTGCCCGTAGCCATAAAGTGCAGTTAACCAATAGTGATTATTCAATCGATCAATCATTTCATCACAACCCACTTGCATGGATCGTATTACTAAACTGTAGATGCGATCAAAGATTGAAATAGATCTATACAGTTATTCAGACCCGTCCTTTACTTTTTCACTCTTTTGACATACTATCATTAAAATGAGATATTGTAAATGTTTTAAATCTTGAAACTTATAAGTTTCAAATATATAATAATAGTTACTTCCAGTAGACTGTTCTCGTTGTTTAATTATGCTGGGTATTAAAATTTTATCTCACTAAGTGGCTAGACGACCATTACATTCTGTTGTCTATTTATCACATATTTCCATTATATACCTGCTAGCCGTGGAGGACAATTGATTAGTTAATCCTTGATAACGCTTTATGATTACATTTTATATGAATCATGAATTACAGTTTTCCTAGAAACGGATAACAAATAACTCCTACGTTGATAAGAAGTGAGAACCATCTTAATCATTGATTTTATTGTAAAACGGGCTAGTGTCATATATTTACACATAGGTAAATTTTAAATTATGCTAATAAGACGAATTGTAACAGATAAAATATTTGAATATAATAACTATTGTATTCCAGTTGTTAACGATTCCGATAAGCGTGAATTCGATTACCTCAAAGGACAAATTTGTGTGATAAACATTATTAATTCGTTCTGTATCTGCGTATAATTCGATAAAATGTAGGCTTCTATTACACCTCTATCTATCTATTTATCATCTTAGTCAATCGATGGTTGTGAAATTTTACATCCATATCGTCAAGGATACAGAAAAGGACAATAGGGTGCTTTTCATTCAGAAAAAACTACTGTTCCCATAGGATAAAAATTTCGCTTGAGGGCGAAAGAAGATATACTTAATTTAGTATTGTTGGGTTTTAATACTTATTCATTTCAAATAATGACATCACTTTCTTATTCAGTATAATTCAGTTGAAACCACTTGAATCATTCTATCGCCAGTTTAAATAGGTGTGGCTTAGTAACAACTTATCAGTTTTATTAATTTTGCTTCTGTTCTCAGTAATGTCCCTATGCACGCTGCCTCTGCAGTCACGGAACGGAGACAAGTGCACATAAACCTATCATCTTTAAGGTCATGTTTCCCATCCTAGATTTCGTATTACTTTTCCTGGCCCCAATTTTCTGTGATCCTTTCTTTCCCATGAAAATACTTTTCCAGGAAGGACGTCAGGCAAGCGGCAGGCAGCTGGCTTTTAAGGAAACCAGCCACACAAACAATAAATGAAAAAATGGCAGAAACATGATGACGACTTGCCTGTTAACTTATATTTGATGATGGAATTGGAAGATAACTATAACACAACATTATTTTCTAATATTAAAGTAAATGAATGCTTAAATTTTAAAAAAATGCAGAGGTACCTTAGTAATTGTTAACACTTAACAGAACTGACAATGAATAAACAAAGATTCGAAGTCTCCTTTATATGGAACCCATGCTATTACAAACCTTCATCCTTCGTCGTGCCCGATCCAGACCTTCTGATAGACCTATCAGAAGGTCTGGATCCGGCACGACGACAGTGAAGAATTTGTGAACAATTTTAATACTAAATTTAACAGTTTTATTGTCACAGTTGTCATTTGATAAGAAAAAATATTGCAGTACTTTGTAATGTTATCTTATCTCTGATTTACATAACTGTCTGTCTAAACCACACCTTGCACCAAATAAAAAGCCTCAATATTTAAAAAAATAAAAAATAAATTTATTACACTTTAATAAAATTAAAATATATAATATAAATAAATGTTACATTTTACGAATGTTGCCAAAGGAAAGACCTGTTTGTTGTCCTTTATTGGTGCCATACTGTAAGGACACGACGTTTTGACCAGCTTTCAACTGCTCTTCTGTAAACTCACGTACATTTTTATCAGCCTCCTTTGGTCCAATGGACGGTTTACCAAAGTTACCAGCCTTACGCCCCAACGACTGCAAGCATACGACTACCGAGTATAGGTTCTGTCTTTCCCAAAGGTCGATTGTTTGGAAAGTTTCCTGAGGCGGAACTCCTAGTTTCTTGACAGCCTCTAGAAATGCGTTGATGTTCTCCATACACTTGAACGCCATTGACGACTGATTGATCTTCTTAACTGAACCTTCTTGGAAGGTATTGACTAGTTTGCAAAGAAGAGTACCATCCTTCAAGACTTGGTAGAAGTTTTCGGCATCACCAGCGGTGTTGGCGGGTGAGCCGGTAATAGTCTTTATCCATTCTAGGGTCTCATGAGCGATGTCATCGTTGTACTTGCTGTTGATCTTGGCCTGAGCCTCAGCGTTGATTCCAGCTTTACCAGCGCGGTATTCGCCCATGTTGGATGTTCACGATTGTACGGACACGTAGCCACTGAACTTCTTACGATAAGCATCGTTACAATATCAGCTTGATATAATGTGATAGCTATTATCGTGCGTTCTACGAAAGTACATGTAATATATTTTATCATACGGTTATATTATCGAGCACTATAAATATTTTATAACGGTGACGGTATCTAATAATCTTTTGCTTATTGTTATTCCAAATATTTGATGGCATTTAGGATTTTAGTGTTTGGTGCATTAAGGCTAAGACATTTTTGTGATTCGAATCAGTATGGCACAGGCGCCACCTAAATATAAATAGCATAAGATGTTTTTTTTTAAAAGACAATGTCCGCACTAGGAATAAGTCCTGTGTCGGGGGTCTTTACAAACATACATGAAACGGACACAAAGGACACCCAGACTCAGAACAACAATTTGTGGATCACACAAAGTATTGTCCCATGTGGGGATCGTACCCACAACACTCAGCGCAGTAGGAAACGGCAAGGTGACCACTTAAGCCACTACGTCATCCGAGCAGTCGAAGATATTTCTATGCTTAGGTACTATACAAGTTAATCAAGTATCTGAAACTATAACGTTGGTATTATTCATTAATGCTATGATCGAATACTCTAGAAAATTTCGTATAGCTTAACCTTATCACGTTGTGGATAAATCGAGTGATTGTATAGATAATATATCAAAGGACATTCTTGTGACAGTCACAATTCATAAACAAAATAGTTCAACTTTTTATCTATTTTAACTGTAATGAAAATACACGTCGCGTCCATCATTTCAGTTTGTCTCTATGTAACATTTTACGTTTTAGCAGATTATCTTCTTATTACTATCTTTATATATATAATTCTTCTGTGAGTGTGTATGTCACTGAACTTCTCTCAAACGACTGGACCGATTTTGATGAAATTTTTTGTGTGTGTTCAAGGTGATCTGGGAATGGTTTAGATTCACAATTTTGTCCGCTGGACAACGTTTTTTTAATTAATTTTTAATTTATTGGTAGTTGTTGATTTTGGAATGTTTTACATTGGATCAGACAGACGGCGCTACCATCGCAGTGTCAAATTTGACAGGACAACGTCTGTCGGGTCCGCTAGTATGCTATAATCTATTCTAATAACATTTATTGACTACACGGATTTCGTAGTGGTTTAAGCGGTCGCCACGCCGCTCACTACTACTACGACGCTACTACATGGGACGACACTTAGTGATCTACAAATTGTTGTTCTGAATTTAAGTTTTCTTTGTGTCCGTTTCATGTATGTTTGTAAAGTACCCCGTGACACAGTATATATTTCGAAAGTGGGAGTTCTTTTATTAAAAAAATAACCAAGAAACAAATAAATGACGATTTGATTTGAAGTCAAACGAGCAGACTGGTCACCTGATGGGAAGCGACCACCGCCATCCATCCGCCACCATCCTAAAACTAGAGGGGGAGGGCTTGTTAGCTAGTCGGCTCTGCATCATATTGACTATATAGTTGACCCTTTCTCAGAAAGTAGAGGCTTACTGCCGCGATGCTGAATTACACTTCTAACTAGCTTTTGCCCGCAGCTCCGCCCGCAGTCGATTATCGCGGCAAAAAGTAGCCTATGTCCTGTCTCAAGAATCAAACTATCTCCATATCAAATTTCATCAAAATCGGTTCAGCGGTTATTGATTCCCCATACATACTTCCACCCCCCTTTTCATCCCTTAAAGGATGATTTTTGGATAAAAACTCTCCTATATTCTTCCTCGGGACTCTAACTATCTCCACACTTCTAAATCGGTTCAGCGGGTTGAGTGTGAAGAGCTAACAGACAGATAGATAGACAGACAGACACACTCGCATTTTAATATTAGTATGGATATGTAGAAAATGCACATTATGTACATATTCTGCATATAAATATGTATAAATATAAATACAATTACTTAATATTGTAACGGTGCATTTCGCACCATTACAGTAATTTGAACCTTAGTCTCGTTTTTGTTTTGTTAGGTTGAATTTTTTGTCGTTTCTGCGTGTGCCGATGGTCGAGGGGCGGACGAGAGTAATAATCGATGTTGTTGGCCCGCGATTAGTTAGTCGATTTAGTTTTTCTTGTCCTGGCAACATTTTTTTTTTCCCCGCACTATGGAGCGACAAGCTTTTGCTCTGGCAGCACGTTGACTTCACTTTTGGACCGACCGCCGAGTGAAATGAAGCGAAGCTACTTTTTGTAATCTAATTTATTAGTATTCCTTATTTATTTGTTATGGACGAGGGCCTATTTCCTCTTTAAATGTTTGGCCAACCTAGTTAGGACTCGAGCTATTGGTTCGAGTGATTATTTTTGTTGAAAAGGTAAGTTTTGTTCGGCCACGTGCTTCACGCTTGGCTTGGCGGAATTTGTGGTTTTAACTCTTTGTTTAATTGGTTACAGGCAATGCTTATAATGCCGCTGCTTGATTTGTGAAACATTTTAGGACCCTGGTAAGTGAAATATGATTTCTTGTCAGAGTTATGATTCATCTTATGAGATAGGCTTTTAACCTATAATTTTTCCTTATTTGCAGATGAATCAGGGTTTTTAGTTTATATCTAAAGTCTTTACAATACCTAAATTTCTTTACTTTCTTATTGGAATGTCATTGCGTGGCATTCGGTTTTTGTCTCTCGCCGGCCTAACCCCAAGAAATTGGTTTGCGGTGGAGCGCCAGAATGGTAGAAAAAGCTGCTTAGCTGTACGCCGTTGTCTGGAGCCTGGGAGTGCTAACCCGCCTCTTCCACCACGTGGGATCCGGAGTGAGAAGTTTTCGGAGTTGGTTTAATTTCATTTCATTCGGACTGATCCAAGGTCATTGGTATGTGTTTTAGTTTTGTTATATTTTTCTTGGCGACGTGGCATTGAACACTGCAGGTCCCCAAGGGGTGGTATTTTTCATTAGAGAGTAGGTCAATGCTATGTCTACCCTTAGAGTTTACTGTTTTGTCTATTTAGTCTTTATGCGACTCTTTAAAATTTATTTAACCTTATATTTTTCTTATTGGAAAGGATTGCATTAATGACAGTACTAATTTGTGTATAAGAATTACCTATTGTAATTAGAGACATAAGACACATTGTACTCTACAGACACTACGGGATAATAAACTGCCATTAGAACTTAACATCTTGTATTCATTAGCTGCCTCCCGCCTTGTTTTAAAAAGGTTCAATGTTGGCTGAGATGTCCGAGGTATTTGTTGTGTTTGTGGTGGGTTCTGTGTTCTTTTAAGGTGGTATCTGGCGCCCGAGACTTTTATTTTGTTATTTTGTTTCTATTTGATGCCACCAGTTTAGTTTTATTTTCTTTAAAACACACTCAACACATATAATTAAATTTTTTTTAATTTTTTATTATTACAATATTAATATGTTGACGGATTAAGAATATTATGGAGTGTCACCACCCCTATTTATCCCGTGGATGTCGTAAGAGTCGACTAAGGGAGCAAACTATGCAGGACGACACTGCTAAGAGAAGGAAGGCTTGAAACAAACCCTATACCAACCCATCTGGCCAGCGTGGTATAGTGGGCCAAAACCTGATTTCTAAGGAGAGCCTTTTCACCAACACTTGTACCCAAAGCATGGCAACAATGTTGTTTACACATAGGCAAAAAGATATAAGCCAAGAAATTATTGTTTGTAAACTATCCAAAGAAATATCCTTATCCTTTATATGCTTTCTAAACAAACTAATACCTACACATACTAACATTTTATACAAAAGACTCTGAATGGTTGGTACATTGCAAAACAAGCCTTGTTCAAAGCACAGATGTATCAATTTTTTATTGTTTCTCTGTCGGCCAAAACACAATAGCCATGAGGTTGATTGTTTTAAACAAAGACTTAATACCACAACTGAAAAATGATAAAATCATTGATGTAATTTGGCAAACATATTTGATAAAGATTGCCTGAGAGCTTTACCATTAATGAGTGGTTTGTAGTATCTGCGAATAATAATACCTACAGAAAAACAAAGTATGATATCTTCTAGGAATCCTAGACACATTAGCGAAGACAGGTAGGCAGCTAATTAAAGCAATTCTATCATTTTTTACTGTAAATACAAGCATAATGCAGTTAGTGACCCTTACTGCCAAGCCAGTCAGGGTTTTGGCTTCAACTCCCAACCAGAAAAATAATTGTATGATGAGCACAATGATTTGTTCTGTGTCGGGGTGTTATTTTTCTATCATCAAAATCAACAGCCTTTAACAGGCCACTGCTGGACATGGGCCTCTCCTTAGAAAGGAGGCTTTGGCATACTATACCCACTGGCCAGACGGGTTGGTTTAAGGTTTGTTTCAAGTTCCTTTTCTTGGCAGTGTTTGCTCCTTTAATGACACTAACGGGATGAGTAGAGGTGGTGACACTTCGTGTTATTAATCCGTCACCACATGGATCTATCCATACTAATATTATAAATGCAAAAGTGTGTCCGTCTATCTGTCTTTGTGTCTGTTACCTCATCACACAACCGCTGAACTGCTTTAGATAAAATTTGGTACAAAGATTATCCAAGTTCCAAAAAAGCATATAGGGTAGTTTTTATTGCAGAAATCATCCTTTAAGGGGGGTGAAAAGAGAGATGGAAGTTTGTATGGGGAATCAATAACCGTTAAATCGATTTTGATGAAATTTGGTATAAAGATACTTTGATTCTTACGAAAAGACATAGGTTACTTTTTACAGCTATAACAAACATTTATGTGGGCGGAGCCATGGGCAAAAGCTTGTCTATAGTATGGATGTATTTAGAAATATTTAAGTATGTTTATCAGCAGTCTGGATACCATAATACAGGCTCTGCCTAGTTTGGGATCAGACTGTCGTGTCTGAGATGTGTGGTTATTATTATTATTTATTTTGTTACGAATTATTAAACAATTTCAAATTTAAAAATCCTTTGTCAATGTAGTATGTGTGTGTAGTAATGTGTATTTTGTTTGATTGTTTTAGACATAAAATGCATACACAAACTGACTTTTTTATGGTATAGGAAGAACACAACCAGATAGATTGATTAGCTGATGGTATGAGATTAGCGCTGCAGCTGGACACCCACACTCTCAACTTATGAAGCATGGTTCTCTAAATATAAAATATTTAATATAATATTAACTAAAAATTTATGCAGCCTAAACCTTTTTACCGGCCAGGTTTATTGTATCAATGTTTTTTTTTCTTATTAATTTTAAATAAAGTGTACTTAACAAGTTTTTAATAACTTTTTGATAGTACATATTAAGATGGAGGGTTTTTTTGTTTGATAAATGTACAATGAGAACCAATATCAGGTCTACTATCAATTTATTTAACAGAAAGATACAGAAATTAAGGCAATAGTGATATTGGAACTTTGTGGTATTTTTACATCAAAATTAGCAAGTGAGATGCTGACATTTTAGCATCATTGTTATTATTAAGTAACAGGCCTTTGCACAATTATCTTAGTAATTATATGTTGAGGAAACTGTTAAAACCAGCTAATCCAGTAGATCTGCAGAATTTACAGGTTTTAAGAATAATAGTGCATAGACTTGAAACACAAGACGATAAAATGCTATGACTATAAAATAATGAGTGTGGAGTATTCATAACATGTAAATATTTTGTGAAAATAAAAAAGTAAAGTCTCTTTCATAGTGTTTTGTACACTAATGACGCTTGTACAGGTGACAGTCATTAATGCAACTTAATCATGCAAAGATTTATATAATTTACTGTCTTCGTTTTTTCTATAAGTATCTACCCACTACATTCCTATAAGATTCTACTTAGTTTCATGACACAACCATGTAAAAGTAGCTATTAAAATTATATTATAGATTGATAAGATTACAGCGAATTCAAACAATACTGCGGTCATTTACAAGTTTGCATGAAAAACTGAAAACTACACAAACTTACCAAAACTTTACGAAGATGAATTACAACACTTTACACAGTACAATGACAATTAATATATAATATCCATTGTATTTTTCACAAGCCACTACACATACACAAGCCAATCTTTAAGTTTGCTAACAATTGAACGCGTCACGAGAATTCGTTTCAGCGCGAGACTGCAGAACAAAAAGTTGTTCGCGCTACCTTTTTCCGTTCGAAAACCTTTCTAATGGTATTCCCCTCCACGTGATAAGTGACGTTTGTGGTCAATTGTGATTGGCTGGCGCATTCTAGCTAGTGAGTTCAGCTGAAAAATGATTCAGTGTCGATAGTTTTTATTTTATTTCGATGAACATTTTTTTATTACAATTTAACTTTAACCTAGTGTTGTTGATGAGAATCCTGATTCAGATAATTTTTTGAGTGGTTTGCATGGGAAGAGAATGCTGTTTGGTTTATGGCGACTATTTATTTTCCTATTTATCTTTCTAAAATTTTAATCTCTAATCTGGTTTGTGAGTCACCAATTTTTGGATGATTAGGTTTGATTTAAGTTAAATTAGTATTTTGATGTGAATGCTTAAAATAAATTCGTTAATTCTATTAATTTAGACAATATACAGCCTGTATGACATCCTAGATCTCTTTCTAGTAGGTAATGACTTTGCAAACTAGATTTGATTTTGTAATGTACTTATGTGTGCCTTCATAATTTTATTTCAGTAAGGCTGTTGGCGTAACAATACAATGAATAGTCTTTTTGAAATATTTTTAAAAAGCTGTTACAACATCCACCATCATTATCGTGTGTTTATATCAGAAGTGTATAAATATACACTTAACTTAACACTAAACTTAACACTAAAACACGATAAATCGAGCTAATTTATCATGCTATAATCCTCTTAAATTAAAACAGTTCACAGTATCAGTTTCTTTTACTATTAAAAAAAAATACTATTTTATTTTATCGACATAGAAAGGCAATTATTTGTAGCTTGTCACTATGGTGCCTCAGTCAGTTTGAAATAATATGATTCGTGCGGAAAATAATTCACAATGTTATAAACTACCTAAAACTACCTAAGTTTTTAAAAATATTTTATTACGTTACAAATAATGTAATTTAAATTTTATCAAGATGATAAGGAACATGTCATCAAAATTCACAATGGATAGGAAGACATTTAAACAGTTAAAGTCGCTGACTCTGTATCTGATAGGTAATCTATATTTCTAGAGATAATAATATAATTTAATATTTTTCATTGCGTTGGGCAATGAAATAGGGCTATATGTGTGTGTGTTGCCGTTGCCGCCCCTAGTAACGTGTAACTTTACGTGTGAAGACGTCACACATCATACCGTGATTTACGGCGGGGCGGTGTGTCGGAACTGAACCGACTAAAACCATATAGTATACTATTCTGTGCCTGAAATGTGAGGGATCCGGAAACAGCTTATTAACAGCTTATTAAGACATCCGGCCCCTCAATTTAATAGCCTTTTTTTCTTTTACGTATAAAAACTCACTCAGGCCGTCATCCCACAGGCAATTGTGACGTACCGGCAGGCGGAGGCGCGTATTTCAAGACCTCATTCCTCATGCCGTGAGTGATGATTAGTAAAAACTTAGTCAAAATGACTGAATTAAAATGTAATGTTAACCCGCAATTGGAATATTTTAAAAGGCCATTTTCTCTAAGGTATATTTCACGAACCGTGTAGTCATTTTTCACATACAGAATATGTTGAAGTATTCTGTAAAATATTGTTATTCAGAAAGTAACCATTGCTCAATTTTGACTTTGAACTTTGTCTGGTGTTGAATGTTTAGGATCTTATGTAGTTTGTTGTAGATATTTGCACTTTGATACTCGGGGTTTCTCCTAGAAAAGGCTATCCAGAAGTTGATTGGTAGGATATCTATAAAGTTTCGAAAGCATGACTTAAAGGACCGTTCTCTGAGCACGCTCTTGGTCAATGAACCTAGTCTTGGCATATCCTCCCCAAATATATCCGTTTGGATTGAGGAGCCACTTTTCATATCTTAATGAAATTAATATTATTATTTAGTAGTAAATAAAAAAAAATGTAGCCTCGATCTTCTAAAGTTATATGAACATAAATGTCGCTCCTCAATCTAAATGTTTGGGTTGTAATCCTGTCATAAAAAAGTATAGTAAATTGTAAGTGTAGTAAATTATAATAGTCTTTTATTTCCTAACATTTTTATGTAGGGTGCCCATGAATAATTGATATGTAAAATATATTTTTTCGTTCCGTTTCGTACACAAATCTAATTTATTTTATTTCATCACAAGAGTCAGTATCTTAACACTGATAAATATTTGTTGCAGCATAGTGAATTATTACTTTTATATTAAATTATTCTTATCGATACAAAATGCGGCAAAAGTAGTATAATAATAGGTGTTATAGAATTTATCCCTGCCAGTAGTGACGCTGGCATGGGACAAGTATATATGTCGCTACCCAACAAAGGATGAGATGTTAAGGGTTTTGTTGCGACGACTATGATTCTCAATGTAAAATTCGTCAAAGCACCGACCAACCAATATTAATTCATTGTATAACTTATGTCCAAATTGATTAATAAATACCTATAAGAATTCCTGTACATTCTTATGTTTCGATAATTGTGGATTTGTTGAAAATTAAATTTTAAAAACTAGTCCTTGTGATTTCACATTTTGACATCATCATCATCATCATCATCAACAGCCTTTAATAGTCCACTGCTGAATGTAGGCCTCTCCTCAGAAAGGAGGTTTTGGCCTACTATACCACGCTGGCCAGACGGGTTGGTATAGGGTTTGTGTCAAGTTTTCCTTCTCTCTGCAGTGCTGTTGTCCTGCGTGGTTTGCTCCCTTAGTCGCCTCTTACGACACCCACGGGACGAATAGGGGTGGTGACACCCTGTATTCTTAACCCGTCACCACACGGACCATTTTGACATGGTCACCGTAAATAGCGAATTCATAAGGAATTTCAAAAATAAATTTATTTTGTAGATACTGACTATATACAACGTTGATCTGTATATATTTATACTCAATGTTAGTGTCTCTGGTTTTTGTTTCTGTTGTGATCTTACGTAGGTACAGTCGATTATTTATTATGCGGAACGTCAGGATTGGGGAGTCAAATAAAATGTGTTTATTTACTAAATCCATTCAGTTTTACCACTTTCTTTTGATGCTACAAATTCAAACACACTTCCTACTAAATGTTTTTGGAGTAGAATATAAATTTTGACCTATTACTTTCATGGCAATTCACGCTCTTTCATATAGATTGAGGAGCCACATTAAATTATTGTGAGGTATTCTTGAATTTCAACAGTACTAGACTCAGATTTTTAATAGGCCCTATACAGAATCACATACTACTAAGTGATATAAAATTTTCGAAAATATTCATTATAAACTTTTCGTGTTCTGGAGGCTATTTAATTCAGATCTTTAGATTGAGGAACCACTTTTACATTAACGTAACTTGAAGGGGTTATGGTTACCGTACAGGGCAAATAAAAGATAGAGTTAAGCCAACCTGGTTTATATTAAGTTAACTAAATCTATAATGGTATGGTTAGATGGTGTGAGTGCAACCTAACGGAATGGTGACCGAAAATGCACTGTTTTCATGTAATGGTGAAATAACGTTAATCGAGGTAAATCACTGACCACGTGCAACGTGATATTGGCTTGTGGCTTGTGTCAATTCGTGGATCGTACAGTAACTTTGGATATTCTTACTACAAATTTCAGAATTTGTCCTACAAAATTATTTGCTTACCTACTAAATAAGGGGGAGTTTCCTTTTAGAGTCTGAAGTGCCTCCTCAATCAATACGGACACAAATGAATCTTCTATGTTCCGAAATGAATTATTCATTGGTTAATTAAATTTGAGATATTGTCTTTTAAACTTTATATAATCAGAACTTTGAATTCTCTCTACGAGTACAAGAACTTTAACAGCAAGTCCAATAGTCAACACAATCGTTTGTTGATATGGTTTTATTATCTTACTGTTCTGTTAATGTGTTCCCAGTCCTTCGCTCACTTACCTCGTGGTGAGCATATTGTTACGGTCACCATGTTACGTTTGTCCTGATTCTTTTATTACCTAAGTAGCGGGTTATTTGTTTATATAAACAAAGTTGGCGGTGTTTTAGAGTTAGGCGGTGTTTTTTTTGACTTTTCAGTAGCCTAGTACCAAATGCAACATATTTCTCGAGTGAAAATAATTAAAACGACTCATTGAAATCATGCTTATTGTTCAAGCATGAATGCGCATATGCATTTGCCATCTGGAGGACGTGCCGCTTCGTATTACGTGGCGAGGCATGCACCGGAAGAAGTGCGTCGGGATGTAAACAAAACTGAAGCATCGGCATTGGGCGGCGTAGCTCAGGGCTGTGCGGAGAGCGCATGCGCGCGGCAGGTGGGGCGGGCGGGAGCGGCGCGGGCGCGGGCGGCGCTTGCGCAGGGCGGGCGGCGCGCCGGCGTCAGTCCGCGCGCGTCCTCGCCATGGCTCGGTGGCTGAAGGCTCTGGCGGCAGTGTTTCTGCTCGCCGCCGCCGTGACTGCGCGCAAGTCCCCCCCCGTGACCAAACACGAGCCCCAGATCGAGGAGGTCACCGCCAAACAGTTGGATCGAGTGCTGGAAGACAAGGATTTCGTCGCGGTTTACTGGTGTAAGTGCTGACACCCGTTCGCCGCCCGCCGACCGGCGTGCGTCTCCGTTTAATTTTGCGAGCTTTCGAAAGCTGGCCGGTGGCCAGGGCGGGGGCGGTCGTCGCCGTGTCGAAACGTCTGCGACGGCGCCCGTCCAAATGGGTTATCGTCGAGTTAATGATCTTCGGACGGGCCGAGAAGAAGACCGCCTCGGCGGACTCGCGCCTTTAGCTGTGTGAATGATATTTTCGAAACGAGCGGCTCGGTTTACGATTCGCGAGTTATGCAACCGAGCCGCAGAGACAATAAAACTTGACCCGGCTGCCGACCGCTGCGGGCGTCGGCGCGGCCTAAAATGGTACCGAGTCTCGTTTTCCACCGTTCCACCGATGCTGGCACCGCCAAGGTCGCAAGGCGCCTACGCTCTTAGCTCGGCTAAAACTGTGTGCCGCGGCATATGTCGCTGAAATAGACTTCCATTACGTGGTATCGGCATTCCGATCTTTTGTCGCCAACTGTCGATGTGATCTGTTTGTTGCTACGTCGCATTCTTAAAGATGGTCATTTACTAAAAGTGCAAGCTGCGAATGTGTGGGTGTCGGTGTGTGAGGGCGAACTTGGTCATTGGCAAATTCGTCAGATATTCATTAATTATCTTGATATATCTGTATCGGTTGGCGTGTCTACTATGCACCTCTCACTCATCCTAGTGATACAGTTAGTAGGTCTAGAGGCAAAAAATGACATAAATCGGTGCCTCGACACTAGTCGAAGCCGGCACCGATGCAAGGTTGTCTCTCGGCTGAGGTACTGATTTGTTCTGAGCTAGCTTTTGGTGTACTAGGCAAATATTTTTTGATAGTTTTATTAGGTACATTTGTTTGTCCATTTTATATAGAAAGTGTGATTGGGTATGACATATGCACCGGAAAACATACAAACAAAAACATAAACAAGCGCCTTACCACACAATAGCCAACCCTAACCTATCATCTTCTCTAAATCTTCTCTTCTCTAAAACCTCCTCTTATAAGTGAGGAAATAAATGATAAAGACAGTACAAAAATAAATACAAAAATAAAAAAAGTAAACATTGTCTAATACAATTTTTTTTTTAATAAATACGATAAAAATAAATACGTAATAAATTTTCAGATTTTAAAATCCTTTTATCTAGCAGACGGGCCTCTTAACAGTGTGATAGCTGCTATGAAAACTTTTGTGTTACAAAAATAGGCCCTGGTCGCCTAGCAAGTGATACAGAAAAGACATAATTATGAAAATGTGCTATTGGAATACTTCCAAAATCAAGAATGCTTACATTTATTCATGGATTAATGAAAATTGTTACAATTCTTGCACAAAAATACATTAATTTTATCGAATTAACGAAGCTGCTTTACAATGTGATCAGGGCCTCACTGATGCAAGGGTTTACCTCACTATTTGATCTAAAATATTAAGGTCAAATCGTTATTTGTGTGTATAAGTAATGACATGCTGGCAATGTGACCAGGGACCCACCGATGTAAGGGTTTACCTCACTATTTGATCCAAAATATTAAGGTCAAATCGTTATTTGTGTGTATAAGTAATGACATGCTGGCAATGTGACCAGGGACCCACCGATGTAAGAGTTTACCTCACTATTTGAACTAAAATATTAAGGTCAAATTGTTATTTGTGTGTATGAGTAAATGTTATTTATGACGAATATTTTAATTAGATTTTGTGTGTTATTGATTATATTAATAAAAAAGGATTAACAATAACACAAAACAAAAAAATATTAAAATAAAATATGTTTTCTTGATCGCTGTGCGAATGAATGCTAAATTATTTACAGAACCAGTCGGTAGTGTAAACTGCTACTTAAATTTTTTTCACGTCCATTTTACATCATAAAGAAGTATTTACTAGACAGACCCTGTAAACTCAGTAACCAGGGTTTTTCAACATGAACAAAATCTGAAACGGTATTCGTCCCGTTAGTTTTGTCAAGTGTATCAAAAGTGAAATCTAACATACAAAATTGTAATGATAAAGTTTTTTATGTCCTATACTAGCGTGCACCCGGAACTTTCGGGAGCAGTGATCCTTTTATAGCCCGGTTTATTTATACAAATAAATAAAATTGAATTCTTTGTTTTTAATGTTAAATTAATAGGTTTTTTCATGCTCACACGGTTATTTGCACGATACCTATGCTTAAAACCCAGTTTAAATACTTATTGTCTGTCTGTCTGTTTGTTTCGGGTAATCTTCAAAACGGTTGCAGCGGTTTTTATAATAGTTTACTATCAGCTATCTATTTAAGAAGTAATTTAGGCTATTTTTTCTTTTAGAAAAATCCTAAAAATTTTGCCCGGTCAGGAAAAATAATTACTTACACGCAAACGAAGTCGCGGGCACCAGCTAGTCTTGCATAAGATTTTTTTCGACCTCTTCAACAATAAATCAAATCAATTCGAATTTTAGTCAATTTAATTATTAATTTTTTAAACCATCATGAATTATACACCTTAACCGTCGTCAATAATAACACTATCTATTGGTGAAAACCGTACAAAAATCTGTTTCGTAATTTTGAGTTTAACGCGTTCATACAGACAGACATCCGCGACCGGGAGACTTCATTTTGTAATATGTAAGGATATTTACAATTTAAGGTTTATCCTATTGTGTGTGGTATCCATGCCTCGGTGGTGCAGTGGTAGAGCATGTGACTGCTGTGCTGAGGTCTCGAGTTCGACTCACGGCTCTGACCAAATGTTTGTATGATCTATAAATATTTATTTCGGAGTTTGAGTGATTTCTATGAATATGTATGTATTTACAAAAAAAGTATTTAAGTATTATTTCAGTTAATCTAGCTTTTGTACAACCTCTGTTTAGTTTGAAACTATGAAGGCGTTGTGTGTCAGATGTTTGAAATTTTATTTATTAATATAAAGTGATAAAACGGCCTCATAGAAAGATTTTTACCGAGTCAGTGTAGTTACCGTTGGCCCAACATCCTTCATCCTCCTTTTTTCCGTACAACAATCTCTTCGGAAACCCTCACCAAACGACCGGTGAGATGATTATGTCGGACTCAAACCGACTAAAAACCACACGCTGTAAAGCACAACTTTATTTTGTTTTATTGTTTTAAAAAGACAACAGCCGCGTTAAGAATATATCCTGTGTCGCGGGGGACTTTACAAACATACATGAAACGGACACAAAGAACACCCAGACACAGAACAACAATTTGTGGGTCACACAAAGTGTCGTCCCATGTAGGTTTTGAACCCATAACACTCGGCGCAGTAGGAAGCAGCGTGGCGACCGCTTAAACCACTATGCCATCCGTGCAGTCAAACTTACTCAACTTACTCGCAGAAGGAGGTTTCGGATTTTGACACACTTCTCACTCAACTCACTGTCTCTTGAGTAACTCGGCGGTTGAAACCTCCGGTGACCCGTCTCCTCGTTTGCCCTCTATTCCACAGGAAAAATAATTTAATGAGCAACTAATCACCTTGTAAAGAGAATCAAGTCAATTGTTCTAGATGACGTTGACGTATTTCCTCATGCCAAGAAACAAAACTATCAGATCTTGTCTTGTTACTGCCAAATGTCAACTGTAAACGTTATGTTGGCATTGGCTCTTACAGCCACATCATCGATACTTTTGTGTTCTAGGCAAACATTTCAGGAACACCGATAGCACAATCCCCATTAAATTTTAATTTTATATTGGATTGACTCCGCATCTATTAAAGTCCTACCTCTATCGCCTATCGGCCCATTCATTTCAATTATGCTACCCATGAACGCCTGCAACTAAGGAGTCACAAGCGCGTGTATCTTTCGTTGGAAGGAAAGATATATACAATAAAATCACTAAGTATATTCAAACAATAAGTTTTGGCTAATGCACTCTTCAAAACTATGAATCTCACGTCCACGTCGTATGTATCTCAAGTTAATGTTAAGTAAATCGTAACAACCAAATTTCCAAAACTTAACTTATGTATTATATGAACACTTATTTTATTTAAATTAAATTATTCTCTCTAATTATTATTTTTAGGAGACTTTCTCCCTCGGATATATCCCAGTCCTTTGCAGTAGACGTGACGGAATACCGTATGGTTTTAGGCAGTTAGATTCCGACCCGAGAAATGGATAAATATAAAAAAAACAAGCATAATTTGAAATTTGGCAATACCGGTAATTAATTACCCAAATTATTAAATATTGTATTCTAAAAGATATAAAAAGTCTTATGGTTTATGGTACACAAACGGCTGAACCTTTTCAGTATTTTTTTTATCAAATATTGTTCTCAGTAGTGGAATGAGATATTTGTTAATTCTAAGACTTAATAATGAAATTTCAATACGGTTACTGAAGTCTATGTTTAAAAATATCCCATACTTTAACTATTACATTTTAAGGTTGAAACTCAAATTTAATTTTATGGCAACCCATTAGGTTTTCAGTCATTGACTACTTATCGAACAGTCAAAAATATAGTTTATTAATATGTAAATGAATGAACAGAGTATACGATATGTAGTCGTATCGTGGATCCAGATATAAATATAATCGGTTATAGAGAAAATGCATTAAACATTAGATTATTTAATCTTGTTTAAATTAATTGCGAATTATCAGAAAAAATAATTATTTAATGAATAAATTATATTATTTCACGTATCTAGTAATGGTCGAAATTAATAAACTATATAATGGAACTTTGTTTATTTGAGATAACATCTATATTAATATATGCGAGGTTTCGATATATATCTCATTTCACAAATATGACACTGAAATTATTTCCAACGGCATATCTCCAATCGAAAGTTATCAGATATTAAGGTACCTATAAATTTTTACTGTAACTAAAATACATGCTACCTTATTACCTACCAACGTAACCTGTTTAATTCACGGTCGAGACTGAACAAGGAGTCTATTTTTTTTGTTATATCTAGACAAAGCAGTGTCGTTTACCTAGATATCGATG